TCCACCGCCACCACCTTGGTCACCAGGTAGCCGGGCTCTGCGGAGCGGGGCGCCAGCTCCACGCCAGTGGAACCATCTGTGGGGAGGGCGGGGTACAGGATCTCGGGCGTATTGTCGTTCTGGTCCACCACGAACAGGCTGAAAGACACGTTGCTGCTGAGTGGAGGATCCCCACTATCGCTGGCTGTCACCTGCATCTGCAGTTCATGAAACTGCTCATAGTCAAAGGATCTGAGTGCATACAGGACGCCACTGTCTGAGTTGATGGATATGTAGGAGGACAGAGGTGACCCCTGGATGGTGTCTTCAGCGAGGGAGTAAATAATCCGGGCATTCTCTTTGCTGTCCGGGTCCAGCGCTGTCACTGAGAAGATGGAGGCACCCCTGGCGTTGTTCTCTGGGATATAGGTGAAGTAGGAGGCACGAGAGAAGGTAGGTGGGTTGTCATTGATATCTGCCACTTGCAGCGTAAATTGAGTTTCCGTTGATAGAGGTGGACTTCCCCTATCTGTGGCTGTTACTGTGATATTGTAAGAGGATACCTGTTCCCTGTCAAGGGCTCTGTGTGTCACCAATCTGTAATAACTATCAATGGACTTTTCTAATTTAAATGGTAGATACGCCAAAATGGAACAGGTTACCTGTCCATTCTGCCCAGAGTCTAAATCATGCACATTTAAAAGGGCTATGACTGTTCCCAGAGGTGAATCTTCAGTCACTGGACTAAATAGAGACGTGAGGGTCACCTCTGGACTGTTGTCATTTACATCTTCTACAGTAATCAACACTTTCGCAGTTGCAAGATACGCTCCTCCATCTTCTGCTTGTATTTCTATTTCATAGAAACTTGTTTCTTCATAATCTAGATTTTCTGATATTTTTATTTCTCCAGTATATTTGTTTAGTTGGAACTTCAACAGCTGCATGTCAGGTAATTTTCGGAATGAATATGTCACTTCTCCATTGGCACCTTCGTCCCTGTCGGTGGCTGTGACTGTCAGCAGCTGAGTGCCCACAGGCAAATTCTCAGGAACACTCACTCGGTATTCTGGCAAGGTGAAGACCGGCGCGTTGTCATTTGCATCGAATACGGTCACACTGACGAGGACAGTGCCAGATCTGAGAGGATCACCTCCGTCGGAGGCAGTGAGGACCAGGTGGTGAATGGCCTCTTCCTCACGATCTAGGGCACGCTCCAGTACCAGCTCCGGGTACTTGACGCCATTGGCACGGCTCTGAACTCTTAGGGAGAAGTGCTTGTTGGGGCTGAGCTGGTAGCTCTGCAAAGAGTTCACACCCACATCCGGATCAGTAGCTTCCGGGAGAGGAAAACGCATTCCCGTAGCGACATTTTCATTAATTTTTACGTCCAGATTTTCCGCTTGGAATTTTGGGGCATTGTCATTGATATCAGTTACTTCTATTTCTATCCCAAAAAGTTTCACCCTATCTTCCACAAGGATGTTAAAACTCACCAGGCACCGCGCGCTCTGAGCGCAGAGCTCCTCCCGGTCTATCCTTCCCGCGGTGACCAAGCTGCCGCTGCGCGGGTTCAGAGAGAAAAGCTGCGTCCTACCTCTGGAGACGATGCGGACTCCGCGCTCCGCCAGCTCCCGGGGCGCCATCCCTAAGTCCTTGGAGATGTTGCCCACAAAGGAGCCTTTCTCTAATTCCTCAGGAATTGAATAGGAGATCTGCCGGGCTCTAGCCTCCCATGGAATCCCGAGGAAAAGGCAGAACAGGACCAGCTCCCTGCAATCCGGGCGATTCCTTTGAGCAGCCATTGTAGTCTGGTTACAGAATTCTGCAAAGTCCTCACTGGACACGTTATGTGTTTCGACCGGTTCCTTTTTCTTTCTGTGGCTGCAGGGTGTTCTGTAGCCTGCGCACCTTAAATTCTGGAGTGAGCTTCCCTGCAGCCCAGCAGCCGGTTTGTGGGGCTTTGTGTAGTTAGAGCCCTGAGAATCCGGATTGAGCTCTGGCTGCGTTCTCTCTCCTAGTAGGTGAACAGCGGCGCTCAGAGTCCTACGAAGTTACTGCACCCAAGTGATACATGGAATGGAAAGTAAACTCCATTCTGTTGTATTATTTTATTTTACATAGATTCTTTGTTTTTTTCCCACTCCTATCTTTAAATCATTTACTATAAGTAGGTTTCTTACTGGAGGTGTGATAAAGTGGAATGAAAATACTGTAAATATCACACGACAATGTTTGGTTAAACATATACTTGCAACATGTTTTCCCGTCAGAAATGTACATACTTTAATAAAAGGTAAACAATGCTTATTTTAGGTCATATGAGTGTCTAGGTATATTCAGAAAAGTCTTACAATTTTATTTGAAATTGTGATTTAAATAGTCCTTATTTTATTTAGTATACATTCATACAAAGACTATATTAAATAAACTTCATGAGATAACTCACTCTGAAGCTTTATCATTTTAACTACTTAATTCACTAAATTTATTTAGCTTAGGATTGTGTAAGAGGTTTTCAAAGTACTCTTCTAGAATAGGTTTACTGAGCCTTAATGAACCTTTTTGTGAAAAACGTACTTTAATTTATAGGCATACAAGTTAAGTGGGCCCATTTAAACGATTGAGCAGGTAATCACAAACTAAAAGGAACATATACTACAGTTGCAAATTAAAATGTTTGCATTGTAATGAGAAAAGAAATATGTAGAATTTGAAGTACTAAAGATTTTAAAAAACAAAGTTAGATGTAGTGATATAGGTTTTTAACCAATAAGTGTCTATGTCAACCTATTTTCATCAGAGCATTAATACTAACACAAATATTCTCTTCTTTTAGGCAGTTTGCATGAGAGGCCAAAGTGAAGTAGTTCACATATCTTCAACTGTGTGTGCCCATCAACCCAACAGCAATCATTCCCTCAAATGTAAAGACAAAGTTCACTTCTTTCACACAGAGAACAGGATGTTCAGAAGTGTTTATGTCACTATGCCTCCTAAGTATAGAACTCTTCAAAGATTTTACCTTTTTTCTTCAAAAATCTTCTATCAGAGAATCAGACAGAGACTGAGAGCAAAGGCAAAAGCACTTCATTTGATTTTTTGGAAATGTCTTTTTTTTTTTTTTTGAGGCAAGGTCTTGCTCTGTCACCCAGACTGGAATGCAGTGAAACAATCACAGCTCACTGCAGCCTAGACCTCCTGGGCTCAAGCGATTCTCCTACCTCAGCCTGCAGAGTAGCTAAG